AACCCCCCCACTTCCTGTCTGCAAGAAGTTCCTTCTCTTACCATTTCCTCTCTCTCTCTCTCTCCCTCTCTCTCTCTCTCTCAATGGAAACTTTACTGCTTTCCCTCTCTTCTTGTCGTCCAGCTGGTGTGGGGATAGAGATAGGAAAAACTCACTTTGAGGGAAGTCCTAGGCAGAGAGGGAAGGAGCAGACTTTGGTCTTATATTACAATTTAAGATGATTTGTTCTGCGTTTTTTAACGTTTTTCTCATAGGAGCAGTTTAAATCACCAAACAAACAAATAATTAACTACCTGTAAAGGGGCCCTATTCTGCTTTTTGGGCTTTTCCCTTTCCTGTTGTGCGATTTTTGTGCATGTAAATGGTCTGCAAAGGCTAAAATCTCAAAGGGACTTTCTCCCCCACACCCTGCCTAAGATGCTTCGATTGTAAAGACCTTTTGGAACATTAAAGCATGTAAACATGTCACACTAGAGGCACAAAATACTCTTATGAAACCTGCAAATGTGCATGATATGTCCTCTTTTAAAGAAAAACTCACTGAACGTCCCTGAATTAGCAATTTTTCTGACCATTTAACATGACTTATGTTGAGCTAAGGAGTCTTGAGGAATTATTTCCGGGTGGAGACATCCATTTCCTGTCTGTATCCGATGATTGACAGCCAGCACAGCGTAATTTAATGCACACACTGGTATGGAAAAACACACAGACACTGACAATAACCACGTTAAGGCTTGGTGTTCATTGAGATGGATCATCATGTCTGTCCAAATTAGTTTGTATACTGTATGGGAGTGAACAGAAGCAAATGACTCCTTTAAAAGGAAGGAAGATCTCTTAGAATAGTATACTATATATTGATAAACAGCAAGAGTGAGCTCTCTTTTAGATTCAACACATTTCATTCAATTCATTTGTCCTGAATTCTGATAATATATTTAATATGTACTGCTTTCATTTACCACAATTCAGCTTTAACGCAGTGTCAAAATTCTGTTAATTTTCAGAAGAAAATCTAATTTGCCTAAAATGTATAAAACTGCATTATTATTCTTAATTCTTATCCTAACCTCTTTGCTGTAAATATTGAAAATTATGAAACAATGTTGCGCAAAGAACACATTTGAACACTCCTAAATTGTTTCTACAACTGCACATTTGTTACATAAACCTTCCCTGGCAACGCTTTTAAAAAAAAATTGCTTTGTACATGTCAAGCGTTTCGACACATTTATTCAAATTATATTTTCACAGTCTCACAAAATGTGATTGTCATCTGCAAAATTATTGTTTCACAAGTTTAGAGTCTAAGTGCTTAGAGTTTTTTAAGTGCATGACTTGTTTTAACTTTATTAAAACTCATAGTAACTCACCATAGTTTGCGTGTTTGCTGTTGTAGAGTTTCCTTTTGTCTTTTTCAGCTTGTGTTAAAAGCTTGCCATCACACTTCTTCTGTTTCTCACACACATAAACGCAGAGTCATATTTAAGACAAGGTTTACCCATACATAAACACACATGAAAACTAAATCGTATATAAGCAGAAAAACCTCTATATGTGCTTAGTTTGCTTTTTCCCCGCCGCCTCTACATTTTCCTAGTGTTTATCCACACTTACACACCCACTCACACACACTTAGCTCTGTCTAACTTTCGAATGCTGTGACCTGTGGGGAGATTTGCATGTCCAGATTATGTTTGTCCTCTGTTTTGCCAATCAAATGATGCACGATTGTTGATCCCTGCGCACACACACACAAACACACAAACACCCAAACACGTGAAATAGGAGCCTGCGTGCCTGAGTTTTTAAAAGCAGAGAGTTCAGGTGCGCTGCAGGAGAACTGGAAAGATTATCAGTGTCGTTAGTTAGCCTGACAGAAAGCCCCGTCATCCATGATGTGGTCTGCATGTCTGTGTTCAGTGTGGAGTGTTGTTGTGTCGGTGGGAGCCATCTTTATCCTTACCATCATCCTCCGCACCAGCCACCTTCAGGTACTGTCACCCATGTTTTGCAATTACTGTCACAGAGTGCTTCTTATCCCTGGATGTAGTCTTTGTTTATTTAACTTTGACGTCTCTACTTTTGGAAATAGATTTCATTGTAATGATAACCCTGCTAATAGTTTTTGTTTCACTACACTCAAACCAAACTTCTTCTCTCCTCCTCATCCTGATTACATTTTAATGTCTCCTGCCACACAATCTACACACTGTGACAACGTCTGTTATTACTCTCACTTGAGACAGTCCAGAATTTCTCTTTTCTTTTTTCTCCTCTTGAACAGTCCACAGCTCAAACTCACACACACACACACACACACACACACACACACACACACACACACACACACACACACACACACACACACCAGCTGTATATGGGCAACACGGGAGATGGATGACTGTCTGAGTCGACGGAGAAAGAGCAGACCCTGGCTCCTCACCAAGCTGTAGCCTGATACTCTCGTAAAGATGGTGGAAGAAATGAGAAGGGAAACACCATTCAGTTTGACTTATTGTTTCCCTTTTGACAGTCTAGAGAAGCTAATTTGGTGTTTCATGTTTCCTAACTAGAAGCCAGAAACTGATAGATTTTAAAGAGTTTTCAATTCAACCTTCATTTACTCTGACTGAGTGCATTATGTACATAGTCGCACCTGCACATAGACTCATGGCTTCTACTGTCCTGCGTCATCTTACTCTAAACCATATTCAATCTCTTAATTTTCTTTCTGAAATTACAAAGAAACATGTTTATTAGTGAGTTACAGAATTGTTTTAAACAGATATTTGCTGATCAAATAAATGCATAGACTTCTAGAAAAAAGGAACGTTGCTACCTACCTTTTTGTTTTGGTTTCAATATGATGTGATTTTTGTGATGCTCTTAACTACTAGATAAGGGGAATAAAGAAAAGTACATTTTAGATTGCTTCCATTTTCAACTATTACATTTCTTTCAAAGTTGAGTGCACTTGTGAGTTACAGAATTATTTGTAAAGGATTTTCAGATTAACTACATTTCATATACTTCTAGAAAAAATAAACGTTACTGTAGCTGCTTTTAAAAGGCTGGTGACAATAACTCTGATGATATTTCGGTTCATGGTCACCTGACCTATCCTACATCAGTTTCCATTATGTGATCTGTACGTACGTGTGTGTGTGTTTTACTTTTTGTTGGGGGCAAGGTTTTTTTCTCTCTTTCCTTCAATGGTGCAGAAAAAAACCCTCCATGTGATTCTACACTTTCCCACACAAAAAGAGAGGGATTAAAATGTGTGTGTCCAAAGGTGTGTGTGTGTGCGTGTGCGTGTGTCTAACCATAGATAGTCATGCTATCAGCTGATGGATTCATCAGGTCCAGATTATGTGACATTGGTTGTATATCTCCTTCTATGGTTCTCCTCTTCTCTCTTATCTTATCCTTCCTCTCCTCCTCTTCTCTCTCCTCTCATCCCTCTTCCTCTCTCCTTTGGTTATTTGCAGACATAATATTATTTCTCCTGGTATTTGGAGACCAGATGGAAATCCTCTGTGTGTGAGGTCATTAACAGATATGTTGCACCTGTGCAGGATTAGGAATTTCAGCAAAGATATTATATTATCAATCAATCAATCAATCAGTCAATGTTTATTTATATAGCCCAATATCACAAATGTTACATTTGTCTCAGTGGACTTCACAGTTTGTACAGAATATCAGTATGACAATACGACACCCTCTGTCCTTAGACCCTTACATCGTACAAGGAAAAACCTCTGGAGAAAACCCACAGTTTAAAGGGAAAAATGGGAGAAACCTCAGGGAGAGCAACAGAGGAGGGATCCCTCTCCCAGGACGGACAGACGTGCAATAGATGCCGTGTGTAAACACGGCATCTATTGCACAAGATATGATCATTTATGGAAGGATTTTCCATGTATTATAACGTCTATTATGCTCCTATCAATTAAAAAAGCTGTACGAAGCCTTTTTCATGTGTTTTTAATCAAAAAAAGGATGGATTTTAGATGTATTATTACATATATTGGATTAATGTAATCATTCTTTAAGAGGGGAATCTTGAGTCATTTTTTTATTTTAGATGCTGCGGCATCCAAAAACAGCTCTGTTACAATGTGCACAGCCAAGCATTGTTTCAAACCCACAGAACCAGACATCTGAAGTTTTTCCAATCTGACGTAATGCTGCAGGCAGAATAGTCTTTTCAATAAGCATTTGATTTATTGTTGCCTGTGTCTACTAACAAGATAAATTAGGAGAATAAAGAAAAGTACATTTGGGGAACAGGGAACAGACAGGTCATGTAGAGAGTTTAACAATTAAATATGAAAATATCTGTAAAAGAAAAGTCTTTCTTTCACTAAGACGACAGGAGAAACTGAGAACAAAACTTGAAACACTGCAGTCAGTGACAAACAACTAGGTGTGTGTGTGTGTGTGTGTGTGTGTGTGTGTGTGTGTGTGTGTGTGTGTGTGTGTGTGTGTGTGTGTGTGTGTGTGTGTGTGTGTGTGTGTGTGTGTGTGTGTGTGTGTGTGTGTGTGTGTGTGTGTGTGTGGAGTACCGCAGTTCCGTGTCCTTGCCAGGGACAGGGAAAGCCCTTGGAGAAAGTGTGTGTGTGTGTGTTTGTTTGTTTGTTACCAGGGGAAACCCCAGTGGGATCATCCAGAGTTTAGTTAAAATGTTCTAGAACGGTGAAAGCAACAAAAAAGAGGAGTGTGGGAGAACCAAAAAGACAGAAAGAGATGAGAGACACATTTGCATAACTATGAATACAACGACTCACATCAAGTTTAAGAATTAAACTAAAGAATGTGTATTAATAGTTAACCTTAGATCAATGATCATAGATATCTTAACTGAAACAAGTCAGACAGGAAGCATTACAGTAACACTGATTATGGTGCAGCATACCTTTGTTAAATTCCTGGTCCAAAACCAAATTGTTGTTAAAGGATAATCACCTACTGTATGTTGTTTGTGTTTGCAGCACAAGTCTTGGAGGAAGATAAAGAACATGGTTCACTGGTCCCCGTTTGTCATGTCCTTCAAGAAGAAATATCCCTGGATACAACTGGCAGGGCATGCAGGTATGTGGAAATAACATCGTTCATAAGACATTCTCCAGCTCAGAAACCCTAACCCCTTTGAATAAGTAATGGTTAAAGGGACCGAATAATGCTAATTTTCAGTATTTATATTTTTTGTTGTGTGCCTCTACTGTGACATGTCTTCATGCTTTAATGTTCAAAAATCTCTTTATTTTTGTCATACTGCCTATGCAGCAGCACCTCTTTTCACCCTCTGTCTGAAACCAGGGCCCAGTCTGCTCAGATTGGTTAGCTGGCTGGCTCTGTTGTGATTGGTCAGCCCCTTAGCCTATCACGTACAACGTGTTGAGCGCTAGCCAATAGAGCAAATCAATCAGCATAGAGACACATTTACACATAAACACACTACAGGAAAGGGAAAATACCAAAAAGCCTAATTTAACCAATTAATTTGTGTGAAGCTGCTAAGACAAGAAGAAATGAAATTCACGATTGTAGATTATGAACTTCTCATCACACTTTAACCCTGACTAACTTCATCCAAGCTAGCTTCAGTTACCTGTATCGTTACACTTTCTTCTGCTTTACAGTAAATATGTTTTTGTTTTTCCAGGGAGTTTCAAGGCGGGAGCTAACGGCCGTATACTAAAAGTAAGACTTTTTCACACCAACCACACATTCTTATTGGTCATTGCACAGGAAGTAGTTGTGATACATCCTGCTTTAGAAAAGGTTCCACATGTTGTTGATACAGAAAAAATGTTGACCAGGCTATATAACGCTAATAATGTGTTGTTGGTATCCTTTAGAAACACTGTGAATGTGAGCAGCGCTGTTTGTCCCTCCTGATGAACGACGTGCTTCGCCCGTACGTCCCTGGTTACCACGGAGACGTAGAGAAAGACGGCCAGAAATACAACCAGATGGAGGACCTGCTGGCTGAGTTTGACTTCCCGTGTGTGATGGACTGCAAGATGGGAGTAAGGTGAGGAGACACATGACAACAAAACATCTTAGATACCGTAGCAGGGTGGTGGGTATTTGCATAAGAAAATATAAATTGGCTTTTATGTTCTTACATGTGATTAATTCAAACATTTATAACAAACTTGAAACATTTCTGTGTTTATTTAATCTACAAGGAAATTATGTTAAAGTTGTGATTTAAACTTAATAAGTAACCTTAAGTACATTTTGATACTAATACTTTTGTACTTAAGTTACTTACAGTTAGTACAAAAAATGTAATCAGGACTTTTACTAGTGGTGCCATATTTTAAGTCCATATTATTTGTACTTTTAGTTAAGTAAAGGTACTTCTTCTAACACTGGTAATATCTGGAAATGAGGTGACAATGTTCCAACAAACTGCAACAGGACAACAAATTTAATAATTACCTTCTCATTTGGGGTTTAAGGCCAAGTCTGAGCACAAAAATCTCTGTAAAAAGAAAATCTAAATTGTTTACATCAAAGTTAAGTCAGTTTGTGTACATTTTTCCATTGGCTTTTTGTTTTCTCTTCCAAATAAGTGATCTTTTTATAACCTGGGTTATTGGCTCACGTTTCTTTTGCAGCTATCGATGTCTTTGCGTTCCCAGATTTGAGCATTTAACAGCTGCACCATGCTGCTAGTAGAGAGATGTCCTCTTCACACCTTGAGTTGACCCTCTCCCCTCGTCTTCACCTCGCCCTTCTACCTCTCTGATTCCATGCCTCTCACACTTTTTCTTCATATTCATCAACCACCACTGTTGTTGTTTCTCATACTTTAGGACCTACCTCGAGGAAGAGCTGACCAAGGCTCGTAAGAAACCCTCCCCGAGACCGGACATGTATCAGAAAATGGTGGAGGTTGAGCCTGATGCGCCTACGCCCGAGGAAAACCTCCAGAAAGTGGTGTCCAAACCCAGATACATGCAGTGGAGAGAGACCATAAGCTCAACCGCCACCCTGGGATTCAGGATAGAGGGCGTCAAGGTAAGACTCACAGAGAGAAGTGTGTGTGTGTGTGTGTGTGTGTGTGTGTGTGTGTGTGTGTGTGTGTGTGTGTGTGTGTGTGCGTGCGTGCGTTCTTCCTTTCTTCTATAATTCTGTTTGTTTGTGTCGGGGCGTGCGTCCTTCAAGGTCATGATCTCACATCCTGTTTTGAACACGAACTCCCACTGAAGTGTACGTTTGTGCAGGAGATGCCTTTGTGGCACAAGAGGCCTGTCCGTGGCAGCTCTACATGCCTTGGCATCTGCCACTGACATTTTACACACACACACACACACACACACACACACACACACACACACACACACACACACACACACACACACACACACACACACACACGCCACACCTCTCTCTCTCTCTCTCTCTCTCTCTCTTATATAGCGATCTCACTCTGCATGACCCTAATATCATAACACATGGGGCGGCGGACCGGTCGTCGTCGTCGTCCTCGTGGCCTCTCCTGCTCCTTGTGGACGGGCTTCCCTCCTCGGCGCCCAAGTCGGGACGCGTCACTCCTCTCACCTCGGGCCCAAGTGACCCTGGCCTCTCGGGCGGCAGCGTGAGTGTCGTCCCAAATTGGTGTCCTGGAGCCCTCAACTGTTCGTCGAGTCCAAGTAGAGTCCGTCAAAGGGTTCTTCGTTGTCGTATTTTACTTGACATTTGCCAGGTACAAAGGCCGATTAACCATGTTGCTCTTCTCTGACCGAACTTATAAGTCGCTCGTTCTTCTTACGTCGGAAAACAAAAGGGACGGTCCTTTAACACCTCCCTCACTGAGGCAAAAGTTGTTCTTGCACCCATATGATTAACCTTTCGTACGATTACTATTCCGTTCCTAAATCGTCCGTGTCATTGTCGTTTCTCGGTAGGTTTCGTACGTTACAATCGACCTTTCTCTTCCTTTACGCTACGTTGTGTCCGTCACTTTAAAGGTTGGTACCCAATTGAGAGTAGGTCGAACGCCGCTTTGGGCCGGACATACAAGACGTTTAACAACTAGTATTATACTTAAAGAACAGAGTTTGCTTGACGGTTGACTCCCACTTCACCTAAGTCGAGTTATCAGTCTCACCTTGACTCTTCCCTGACCAAAGAGAGTGACAAACTTAATGTGCGACTCCGTTTTTGGTTCTCGAACGTTTTCCGAAGTCATGTTTAGGTTTTTTTGCGTTAATGTGTAGTGTACTATAAGTTTAGTGTAGTAACTTGAACCTACTCGTGCTAGCATTTGGGTCTCGTTTAACAATTTCTACAGGCCCCCTCAGTACCAAATGTGAGTTCACCACCTTGATTTCTTGAGGCTGTCCGTCACTTTTTACATAGATATAACACGCAATATACCTGTTCCTGGATGTTTTACGTTCTCTCCGGACAATAGTTACGAGTTACGTCTGTTGCCTGGTTTACACTACGGGTCAGGTGAGTGATTACAACACGAAGCTACTTGACGAGTTTACGACCGAACTGCGTTCTGTTTTAAGAATCAGCACAATACTTGCCTCGGTCGGCAGTACAGCCTGCTCTCCCTCCGTACGTCTTCGAATAAGTTTTATTCAATTTGTCTCTTCACGGAATGGTAGGTAACAAAGTTGGTGGTTAACGTAAACCCACTAGCACGTACGATAAAGGAGTCTCTCACGTCAACCCCTAAAAAAAACTTCACACGTTAAGGGAAATATTTAAGAATACTTTTTCGGGTGACATCGGCGTGTCATGTTATCCTCTCTTCGAATTTTCCGACCAATCTGCGTCGCTACCTGGCCTGTGGAACTGTGCCACTAGACACCAGATTCAGTGTGTGACGTGACCACCTGAAGGACTTTTCTCTACTTGGTACCCTACGGTTCACGACTACAACTTTTAACTTAGACAACTGAAGTGTTCACGGTAATGTCTTGCCTCGAAGTGTAAAGGAGTGGCCACACTTACGTGTTTCCATAAACCCCGACTACCTGGGTCGGTTAGCCTACGACGTTCGGCCTTCTTTGTCTAGATTAGTGACGTCAGGCCGAGTAAGTTTCACCGGAGAAGAACGTATCTCCTACGATGCTAGTCTACGCCTTAAAGTCTTTGACACCGACTGTCGCCCCTACGTCCACCTCCCGCGGCCGCGCGGACGAGGAGGTTTTGGCCGTCGCCGTCGGTGGTCCTGCGGATGTTCTGATGCACACCTCACTTTCGGAACCCGTCGGCGCTTCACCTGTAAGTGTTCTCACGTTCCGCGAACAAAAAACCGTAGTAGCTGAGATAAGACTTTCACTTTACCGAGTGCAAAGTTCGCTCGCATTGGCCCTTTATATACAGTCGGAAACCTGCGAAACCTGGGGCGGCACCACTAAAGGACCTCCGACTCTTTCACTTTTGGTGATGACCTAAATTGTTTGTGTCTGTACCAACTCCGTGTCAAGTGTCAACGCGCTCTCAAAAATTTCGGCCACGTGTCCGGTCCCTCATCTCTCTCACTCGGAAATCCAGTGGAACAACGTTTTCTTTGTCTCAGGTCTCCCATAATTCACGCGTACGGGTCGCCATTTACCTTTACTGTCGTAAGTTTGTGTCTGATTGAAGCCCCGGTAGGTTTGTACGATGTGACAACTTTTGGCAAAGGAGGTCGGCAACTTCTTACATAAATCACTCGCTCGCTGCGTCGTACAACCGTAGCTCGCCGTTTCCGGGGTAGAGATAGGTCACCGGGAAACCCTTTTTACTTAGTCATTTTACTTTAAGTTTCTAACCTCACCTTCCTCTACACCGACTCCCTCCAAGGTGAGCAGGTCCTTTTCTCCTCTGACCCGTTGAGATGGCTTCCATTCTCGACCGAATAAATTAGTAAACAAAGGCAACGATTGACAAACAATCCCGTTACACGGAATAATAGTAGCGCAACAACCCGTATACACATGCTAGGGTCGCTGAGGACTACGGACACCTCAGACAAAAACTACAGACCAGGCAATTACAAAAGAGTAGCGGCAATACGAGGCAATACAAGAAGAGTAAGATGGCACGTCGTAGTTACACTGTGCACGTGGGCCCCGCCACTGTGACAGTGTTTACTACCGACACTGATGTGGGCGGGGGGAGGCCAAAAGTCGACGGGGAGACATGTGACTCGACCTCCGGTCCCTTTGACGAGGATTGAGGGCATATTAACGATTCGTGGGAGGACGGGCGTAATAGTTGGCTTCGGACTGATTTCAAGGATCTAAACCGGTTCATC